ACAGGGAGTGGTCACAAAGATCACATGCTGCAAAGGGCAAAAAGGAGAACAAAGATCACAAGGCAAAGGGCAAAAGCAGAATTACCGATAAGGGCCTATGTTCAGCGGTGCACGTCTTATCTTGATAAACATCTTAAACAACAGAAAACAGGGTTCAAGAGCAGAGAACTGGTCTGACTTCAAATTTACCAGGGCAGGGTTTTTCCCCACCCTAGTAAGCCTGAGGGCACTGCAGGAGACCAGGGTGTATCTCAGTCCTTATCTCAACCGCATAGGACAGATACTCCCAGAGTGGCCGTTTATAGACCTCCCCCCAGGAATGCAATTCTTTTCCTAGGGACTTAATAGTAATATTCCTTGCTAGGAAAAGAATTTAATGATCTCTCTCCTACTTACACGTCCATTATAGGCTCTCTGCCAGAAGAAAAATATGTTTTTTTTTTGCCTGACCCTGCAGGCAGTCGGACATTATGGTTGTCTTCCCATGTTCCCTTGCTGTTACTCTGTTCTTTTTCAAGGTGCACTGATTTCATATTGTTCAAACACACGTTTTACAATCAGTTTGTACAGTTAACACAATCATCACAGTGATCCTGAGGTGATGTACATCCTCAGTTTATGAAGATAACAGGATTAAGAGATTAAGATAAAGACAGGCATAAGAAATTATGAAAGTATTATTTGGAAAGTGATAAATGTCCATATTAAAATGAAATCTTCACAATTTATGTTCCTCTGTCATGGCTCCAGCCAGTCCCTCTGTTCAGGGTCCCTGACTTCCTGCAACATTAAGTTTGCTCAGATGATACTGCAAGATCAGAAGTAGCAACTCTGAGAGCAGGATTTATGTATATCAGATAAATTAATGTATGATCATTAGTTCTATAAAAGCAGTTACCCAAGGTTTCACTTAAGTGTTATATTTGAAATAACTTTAGAGAGCTAGTTTTTAAATTTCAGGGACATGTATCCCATAAAATGAGATACTCCAGGAACTGATTTTTGTAAGTCTCAAAAGAAAAACTTATTTTTCATTTTAGAATCTATTATATTATCCAAAAAAGCATATAGAATACTCCAGTCAACTGAATGCTTTTGGTTTATATTTCTATTCATAATACACCAAAATAGGATTAAAGAAGTGCCCCCAAGCACCTAGGTTAGCTCAGCTGTGGTCTGGAGTTTTTATTTTATAGGTTGAATTATTATATGTTGGGCATACTTATTAAGTGTGGCATGTGATTTCAGGTCACAAGTTAAGATTAAGAAAGAGCCGGCTTGTGCTTCCTGGCAACTTGGTATACTAAAATACTGCATATGGCTAAAGCGGGGTGGTGCCTCTTCAGTTCTGTAGAAATTAGCTGTTGGACATCTGTTTTGAACCCCTAGTGTGTGCTAGAATTATGTTTTCTCAAGGCATTACAGCTGAGGGCGTAATAAATCCTTGATGAGAATTTCATGCTCCTAAAACACTGCCGTATGGCTTGCTTTATATACCCCGGTCGGGTTTTCCCCTAATTTTTGCTTTTTGGGAAAGGCAGCTGTTGGATGTTCATAGATTGTACTTTAAGCCATTGGAATCCTGACTTGACTTACTTGAGATCCAAATCCCAGAGTGGCAAGCCCAGTGAGTCTATTTGACTTGCTCCTCATTTCCCATTGGTTGGCCTATCGCTAACCTCCCTCATAGAAAACCAACAACTTTAACCTCAAAGAAAACCCGAGTCTGTTTAGGTCCTTTCCGGTTCCACTCCCGAGATTTTCCGACCCCTGAAGTGTGAAGTGACCAAGCCTTCCGCCCATGGGCTTCCTTTCTCTCCAGACCACCTCGAATTTGCTTAGGAAGAAGCCAGCTTTCTTGATCACTTGAGTGACATATAGACTCAAGGAGGAGTCGCAGCCTCAGGCCTCCTGATTCCTGTTTAAGTTCCTGTTTTACGCTCTCTTGTGATACTTTCATGGATGCACAAGAGGAGTTGTAGATTAAGTGATGGCCTCCTTAGTGAGGTTCCACCTCAGTGAGTGAATGATTTTAATTAAAGAGTGATTAATATAATCATAGGACTCCAGACTCTGGATCCACTATGTCCTCAGTGTCTCAGAAATTCCTTTGCACAGCCCTTAGACCAAAAGGAAAACTTAAGTTTCTAATTATTAAGTAGGTAAAGTCAAATAATTTAAGAAGTATTTATGACTCTGGATCCACTATGTCCTCAGTGTCTCAGAAATTCCTTTGCACAGCCCTTAGACCAAAAGGAAAACTTAAGTTTCTAATTATTAAGTAGGTAAAGTCAAATAATTTAAGAAGTATTTATGACCCTACAACTTAGCAGACATTTGAATCAATAATGTCATTGAAAGACATACATTGAAAGAAATAATCCTTATTTCCTCCATTGTTAAAATAATCATTACTGTTGACAATGGCATGTGGTTATGTGACTGTTGAGCGCTGCACAACTTCCCAAACTTTAGGCTAAGCATAGCTGCTGCCTTGCTTATTTTCTATTCCACATTGATTTTCACAAGGCATTTGCTTTTTATCATCACCACCATGAGAGCTCAGCTTCACAAAGACATACCATGAAAAGGGATGCAGTGTGATTTACTGTTGAAACTGTGAGCTACTTCCAGCTAGTATTTTTCACTGTTACCTGAGAGACATTGCTGTATTTCCCTCAGAAATTAAAAAAATTTCTGCTGCAGCATCCCCAGAGCACCTGCATACCCAGTTGGGAACCACAAGTCTGATGGCATGCAGTTCTCAGAAGTGTCCAGTCTTGTTTTGTTTTTCCAACAGTTAAGATGTTTCACATAATCCTATGCTAGGTGGAGTAGGAGATGCAATTGTTTTATACTTGCTAGTCAACACAGTGGTTTAACATTAATACATCACCACCATTCCATGAGGGTGGCTGGTTCTCATTTTCCCAATCCCACTCATGGAAAGCAGGGGCTCATGGACCTCCTTTCCCTGCTTAAATGGTTAATGTGTGGTGCGCAGGAAAAGGTCATATTCAGGCCTTTAACCGTGGCTCCCAGGTTGTTTTCTCCAACCATATTTGATCTGTGGTTCTGTAGAGTTCAAAAACAAAATGGGAAGTCACTTTTGTGTAGCCAATTACAGCAGTGGACTGCCTCTGCCAAAAAGATCAGCCCTTGGCTTTAAGTAGCAGTTGCACAGACTAGGAGGGAACACATACAGCTTAATATCCCTTCATGTTAAAATTGCTTATGTGGAGTTGACTAGAGGCTTCATTGATAATCAGTGGTAAAGCTCAAGTAACTTTCTTTTAGGTCACATTAAAGTGAATCTGGCATCTGCTACCAGGGAGATGGTGATTCTGTTCTATCCTGCTCTCAGTTGCCTAAAAGATTATACGTGGAGGCTATTTTTTAAGTTCTGAAGCATGCCTATTAAATAATGGTTGAAGAACCTGAGAATATGTAGCAAGCAACAACTTCCTTTGGGAGGAAGGATGTGATAGCTATTTTTATATTTCAGCCTCCCAAATATTTGTAAGAGAAGTTAGACTTTTCCTGTTTAGCCCCAAATGACAGAGTTAGTACTCTTAAGTATGCTTAGTAACAACAAAAAAGTAAAAATAATTTGCAGTGGTCACACCTACTCCAGGAGGCATCGAACTGCTGCCATTGCAAACCCTTGTGAAAATGCTAAAAGGGACATCAGGTTGTGTAACCCGGCTCCTAAAGTCCTTTCATCATGTTTTTCTAACTTTCTAACTCTTATCTTTGTCACTGAGCAAAGGCTTTTTACACGGTTTTACATTCAGTTTGCTGTCTCGCCAAATGTGTTTCTTTCTCAAGTTGGTAGAATGAGATGTCAGGTAGCACTTCAGTTTTCTGTTTGGAACAGGTATCTTTGTGGGTAGGGACCATCTAGGAGCAGTTGAAGTTCTTACTGGGCAAATCTTTGAGTGTCCATTCTAGCTGATGCATGAAGTCCAATGTGGGCGTGGCCAGTAGACCTCGGGGACATCCAGAAAAATCTTTTACTTTGTGTTTATTCTGTGTGTGTGGCAGCGGGGGGCTGTGGGGCTGTTTAAGTGATCCAAGAGCTTACCTGTAAATTCCCCAAATCAAGCATCAGCTTATCAATTCAGAATGTACAGTCACTCAGTCCTGAGATGCTAGTCTTTGGTTCATGTTGCTGTGTTTTCTGGTCTGCACTCTGAAGAAGCACTTCACTATCATGAATACCCCTCTGCTTTAGACCCCACAGATTTATACTGGCTCCTCTTCCCAGACAACTTGAGGACCTGGGAAAGCTTGGCCGCCATCTTGGATTCCTTGTGGAAAGAACCGCTCCTAGGCAGGGGCTGATCTTCTCGCCCCCTTGAGGGCTGTGCTTGCACGGCTCAGCGAGGGGAGACTTCCGCTCCCTGACTCCCATCCTAAATCGTCTGCCTTGGCTGCCCTTCAAACACAGCTTCCTTTTCTGGGGTGGATGTAGAGAAGTCTTTTTTTCTTTCCTCTTACCCCAGCCCTCTTTCTGCACGTTCTCATGCCCTGCCAATTTCCTTTCCCTTCTGTAAAAGCAGATTTTACAGAAAATTCCCTTGCCAGCCCTCGGTTGTATATGATGTACCATAAAGCAAAAGGAGGTCTGTGCTGGCTTTCTGATTTATTGGAAAGATATTTCCGAAGACCCCTGTAACTAGCCTGACTGCCTTTATCATTCAGCAGGGCACACGTACCCCTGAGGAGTTTGTGCAGATGCCTCCCACTGAGCAGAGTGATTACAAATAGGCTGTGTTTTAAGTTAGTTTTCTGTTGTGTATTTCATCTGAGAAGTTGGCAAATACTTGAAAGCCACAAGCTCCTGTTTTCTGAAAGCTTCTTTGCACATGAGCATAAAATGTATGTATTGAATTTGGAGATCATCCAGTAACTGTCCTTTTAATGCAGCGGAATGTAGATTACAGCTGTTTCCTCTGGAAAGATGTGCATAGTTCTGATTTCCCTCTCTTTTCTCATAGAGTGTCTCCTCTGCAGAAGTCTGAGATAGTGGATGTGGTGAAGAAGCGGGTGAAGGCCATCACCCTCGCCATCGGAGACGGCGCCAACGATGTCGGGATGATCCAGACAGCCCACGTGGGTGTGGGAATCAGTGGCAATGAAGGCATGCAGGCCACCAACAACTCGGATTACGCCATCGCACAGGTCAGCAGTTTGGGAGTCCAGCTGCCCCATCCTGTTGAGAGATGGTAGCTGGGCATGAGGACCTGGCGTTTAAGCTTCAGTGCAGCCCCAAACCTCTGCCGCTCCTCTTGAGGTTGCTGTCTAGATGAAAACCCAGGGATATTCGGATTTCTCTGTGGTTGTGATCTTGTGCAGTTTGGAGGCCCTGTCCTGCTGGTGGGTTTTCTTTGGCCAGCTGTGGGGTTGGCCAAGCTGCTCTGTGATCCAGGCAAGGTGCTACTCCTATCAGACAGGTCCCTGATCTTGCTAATAATAACCTCTCACCCTCAGCTTCTGCATCTGCTGCATTGCTTTTCCTACTGCATCACCTGCTGAAGCACAGCTGTGCTCGTGACAGCCTTTCTCTCTAATCCCGTTCTGGTCTCAACCCTGCCAAAGGTGCTGGGACACCCCCTGGTTAGGTGCTTAAGATCAGGGGCGAGCAGTGATTTACAGCTGTCGTCTTCCCTGTAGTTGTGACAGGGGTGCTGCCCAGGACCACGCCTGTGAGGTGAATTGCCACGAGCATGAGCTGGGTTTGGGCCGTAATGACCCGTGGTCAGTAGCAAACAGCCTCCTGAAGTTAGGCCAAGTCCAGTCCATTCCTCTCTGCCCTGAGCCTCGCATGCCAGGGCTCCTGATGTGCTGTACTGCACTGCTGGCCTAAGGATGAAGGAAAGCTCCACTCCGCAGTGATAGCCCAAAGGTGAGGGAAGATAGCCGATTTCCTGACCTGTAGGGTGCATATCTGAGACCACCTTTGCAAAATCATGACGGAGACCGTGGAAGAGATTGAACTTAACCGACTCCATCTTGCTTCTAACCTCCAAGCTGTCCTTGTTCATTCCTGGGCATAAGCTGAACTAACTTTGAGAGAAACTTAGTTTATCGTTTAAACAAAGATGGTAACAGCCCTTTCCCAAAGCAGACCTCCTCCTTGCCTGGGGACTAGACTGACATTAACCACAAGATTTGAAATGATGGCTTAGGAGTCATGCAGTTGGAGGCTACAAGATTCTGACCCTCTTAAACTGCTCCTAAGATCAGGGCTTGAGACATTTTGCAGACCCTGCACTTGATGGATCAGCTGGCACCACCCAGATCCGTAAACTGGCTCATCTAATCTTGTAGCTCCCACCACCCAGGAACTGACTGAGCACACAGGAAGACAGCTTTGGACTCCTGATGATTTCTTCCCTGAGCAATCAGCGTTCCTGGTTCACTGGCTACCCCCATCCAAGTTTTCCTTAAAAGCTCCCTGAATGCTCAGGGAGACTGATTTGAGTAACAATAAGCTCCAGTCTGCCTCCCATTCAGCTCTGCATGAATTATTCTTCATTGCACTTCCTCTGTCTTGTGGAATCGGCTGTGTCTAGGCAACGGGCAAGGTGAACCCCTTGGGTGGTTACATATCTCGATGATTGGGCCTGCTGGATCATCCAGAAAACCTGGACATCACAGTGAACCTGGGGCATGTCCCTCTGTCTCCAGATTGCGACACATCGTGAGTAGATGCCTGCCCATCGGCTGGGTAGCAGGAATCCCCTTGTGTTTCTGCGGTGTTGAGGTGTTTGAAGAACGTGTTCACCTCAGTCACACGAACACAAGGGAAAATGGCCATCCACCCCTTCCAGCTGAAATCAGGGGCTGTATATAAAATGTGAACGAGCTTCCTATAGCCCCAGGGCTTCAGGCCAGTCCTCTGCAGCTCTGGGGCTCCACCTCCCCAAAGTGGGGGCTGTGTGTTAGAACACCTCTCAGGTTTCTTCTCAGCTCGCAGTTCTGCAGATGCAGGGAGGAATTACAAAATCCTCCTGGCTCTGAAAAGTGCATGCAATCAATCTTCTTCCTTTGCCGATTTCAAATAAATCCTCAAGATAATTTCTGAAGTCGGTAAGAGAAGGAATCCTGACTTTATAGGTGGGAAAACTGGGGTTCCTTCATATCAGGTGACTAACTTTAGGTCCTACAAGCGAGCGTCTTGGGGTCAGAAAGCAACGGACCTGAGTGTGAACTTGGGGGCCGGCCCCCCACACACCTGCCTGTTTACTTTCCTGAGTCAAATGCTTTGAGGCCTGTGGGACTCGCACTTCCTGTAGTCTGTCAGCAACCATAGATGTTATCCACCCCAGCATTATTAAATACTTGAGTTATAACATCATATGGCTGGAAGGGATCTTAAGAGGTTTCCTAGGAGTTCCAGGCAAATATTTGTCTGTCTTTTTCTTTAAAATGTCTAGGGAAGGGAGATCCCCTGACCTGCTTTATTGAAACTGCATACGAATAGGATGTGTTATCCAGAGCAATTGCTCTCTTCAAATTAAAAGTGTGAAAGAAGGGTGGAGCTGGGAGCGAGGCTCTAAAACGCCACTGGGGGTTTTCCTGCCCCTCCAGCATCATAGTCACCTCTGCCAAAGGAACTGACGCAGCCTGCATGTGTCTGTGCATCCTCATTTCTCCTGTCCATGGTCCCATTGCCGATTAGGCAGGGGTGCTGTTACTTCAGGGCAGGTTCCTGCTAACCTCACACCCTTTCCACCAACCAGCATGCTGCCCCTACCTTCATCACCAAGCCAGAAAAGCCACAGCTTGATTAATTTCTTTGCCACTCTTGAAATGATAAACATCTCTGGTTGTTTATCACCTTGGGCTTTATCTGTTCATTTTAATGTGGATGCATTTTTTTTTATTACGCTTTGGAGGAAGTACCCTGTAGGGTTATTATGCTCAGAAGGAAAAAAAATTTACCTCAAAGACTTACCTTGGGAAAGTTGTGAAGCAGGCAAAGCTCTGGTTCTATTTCTTCCCTGCCTGCCTCATGCTTTTATGCACATGGGCCGCCCGAGACTGAGCGCCGTCCTTTTCCAGCTGCCTCGTCCTGGGCAGCCTTGCTGCCATCCCTGCGTCATGGTGCTCCCCTAGCCCTCGGCTTTCCCTTCTCGGGAGAATCATTCCTGCCCCCTGCCCTCCTAATGTTTTCGGAATGACCCCATGAAGACAGCATTTTGATTTAGAATATACCTTTTTTTTCCCCTGAAAACAAATCACTGTAGCGCTGAAGTCGAGGCGTTCCGGACGACTCAAGCAGATGGTTTCTGTGCCCACTGAAATTTAACATCAGGGGGTCCCAGTCAAATACAAACTTCCTTTTTATTTGTTTAGCCGGTTATTTTATGATTTCCCATTCCCCTGTGGAATCCTTAATGAGCCTTTATGGGGAGTTTTATTTTTCCATGTACACCTACTTCTGCCACTTCGAAGCGGTGATTTAGATTCCGAGTGCGTGGTGAGCCCCGCGCCTTCCTCACCTCCTGGAAGGACACGCTGAGCTGCGACCCCGCCTAGGATGGGGTCCTTTCTTTAGTGCTAATGGGGATTATTATGCAGTTTCCTCCTGAAAATATTCTGTTTAAGTATTGTATTGTCAGTCTGGTCATTTCTTTCCTATCGAGAGTGACATTTAATTTATTTATTTGTTTTCTTTTCTGTTTTTTTTTTTCTCCCCCAAGAATTTCACTCTCGTTGCCCAGGCTGGAGTGCAGTGGCGGGATCTCGGCTCACTGCAGCGTCCGCCTCCTGGGTTCAAGTGCTTCTCTTGCCTCAGCCTCCCGAGTAGCTGGGATTACAGGCACCCACCACCACATCTGACTACTTTTTGGATTTTTAGTAGAAACGGGCTTTCACCATATTGGCCAGACTGGTCTTGAACTCCTGGCCTCAGGTGATCTGCCCACCTTGGCCTCCCAAAGTGCTGGGATTACAGGTGTGAACCACTGCGCCCAGCCGAGAGTTACATTTAATTTCAAAAGTCATCTGAAATTAGTAAGAAGTGTATGACTGCAAAAGAATTTCTAATGTTCTGGGGCATCCTCAATACAGCCTGCTTGTCTCTCCTAGTAGTGTAATAGGGTTCAGGCTTGTGGACTTACTGACACTCTGACTTAGAACAGGAGGCATTAAGGTTTTCCTGCAAGGGAACCAAGAAGGAACTCAAATCCGGGGTAAGGCATATCAAATGTGTAGAAGCATGATGTAAACAGGATTGCCCCTAACGGCACATTTATACCAGAGCAGGACACCATGCACCAGACCAGAGAAACTCGTTTGCCTCCCTCCAGCACAAGGTTTACACTTTTTGGGACCTTTTTGAAACGGCACACAGAAGGCAAAGCCAGGCTAAGGGGTGGCTGAGGAGATACGATCCAAGTGGTATCCAGAGACCCCCTCCCCCAATGAGGATTCCTGGATGTTACTGGAATATCTATGGCTCCAACTCAAACCACAGCAGCCATCACATCACTCCCAGCTTGGGACCCACCAGCCGCTCCTGACTGCATAGCACTCTGGCCAGAGGTGCTCTGTACTGGGGGGAGGCAAAAAGAGAAGACAAAATGGGGCAAGAAGTGGAGGCAAAGTGTGTGTGTGTCTTAGGATATCTGTGTGTACATGTGTATTTGTGTGTGTGTCTGTGTGTGTGTGTATCTCTGTCCTGTGTGCCTCTGTCTCTGTCTAGGTATGTGTGTCTGCCTGTGTCTGTTTTTCTGTGCCTGTGTGTGTGTCTGTGTGTCTTTGTGTGTATATCCGTGTGTATCTACATGTGTGTGTGTAACTTTTTAACCTACGCAGTTGTTAGTGGAAGTAGTGTGTGTGCACCTGTGTGTACCTTTCCTTTAAACAAGACTCTATTGTGTGAGTGTCCCTGTCCCTTGTTCTTTTTGTCACTGAAAAATCTGTGATTGCTTGGATGTCTGACTTTCACTGTACTTTTCTTTCAGTTTGGTAGTTCAACTTTGTTTAATAATTAATCCCTATTGAAACACTATTCACAATAGCAAAGACATGGAACCAACCCAAATGCACATCAATGCTGGACTGGATAAAGAAAATGCAGTACACATACACCATGGAATACTATGCAGCCATAAAAAGGAACGAGATCACGTCCTTTGCAGAGACTTGGATGGAGCTGGAAACCATTATCCTCAGCAAACTAACATAGGAACAGAAAACCAAACACCACATGTCCTCACTTATAAGTGGGAGCTGAACGATGAGAACACATGGACACAGGGAGGGGAACAACGTGCACTGGGGCCTGTTGGGGAGGCAGGGGGAGGGAGAGCATCAGAATAAATAGCTAATGCATCTGGACCTTAAAACCTATGTGATGGATTGATAACTGCAGCAAACCAACATGGCACATGTTTACCTATGTAATAAACCTGCACATCCTGCACATGTATCCTGTAACTTAAATTACAAAAAAGCATTTGTTTAAATAGAATTTCATAACAATTAGAAGTCCAGCAGTATGTTTCGGGAAAATGATAATTATGTAGATTTAAGAGAGGATTTTAGTTGTTCTCACTGGGCCTGAAAGCTCTGTCTTCAGAGAATGGTTTTCTGAGATTCCTGCAGAATCTTGTTTCCTCTACCTACATTATCTGACTTCTGTTTGTAAGAACATTCTGTTTGTGACTTTTATTCCTCAATGATGGGCTCTTCTGAACTTTGTAATTTTCCTTTTTCAGTTTTCCTACTTAGAGAAGCTTCTGTTGGTTCATGGAGCCTGGAGCTACAACCGGGTGACCAAGTGCATCTTGTACTGCTTCTATAAGAACGTGGTCCTGTATATTATTGAGGTAAGAAGGAGTATTTTTTTTTCCTTGAAGGAAAAGGTCTTTTCAGAGGATATCTTGAGGTATTTAAAGTCATTTCAAGGCAGGGTTTTGTTCTTGTAAAATTAAAAGATGCTGCTGTGACTTTCTATAGCCTGGGTCACATGTAAGCTCCCGTGAAGCTGGGCTCACCATCCTGGTCTAGATCCTCATGCTGGATGACCAAAGTGGGCATCTGAAGCCTTTTTGCCCTACCCAGACGTGCCTTCCTCCCTAGCTCTCCTCCTGTGTTCCTCTTTGCCATGCCTCTTCCTCTGTGTCCTTGGCTGGGGTAGAATCTTGCCGACACTCACACCCCTTCCAGAGGGATCAGATCCTAGCACCAGAGACCTACACCTCGCCAGGTTAACACTGAGGTGTTGCTGGAATGAACGGGGGAGCCTGATTTCTGCCTTATTTCTCACAGACTCTGCAAGTTTTCTAGCATCCATTCACTGCTTCTAGGATACTTGGGCACTGGCACTTATGTGCGAAGGGTGTGGGAGTGAGGGGACGGTGGGGAGTAAACCAGCGAGGTCATTGACAGTATTGCAGTGAGTTCACATTCTGTTGTCAGACAATTTTCCAAGATGCTGATTCAGTTACCAGTAAAACAAACGTGCTTGCTAGAGGAGTGGGCCCAGGAAGAAGTGGAAAAGTCACTTTATGTTTGCTATTAGTGGGATTACAGCCCTGCTATAAAGGGGTGGCTTTTGAGGCCATCATGACTAATCGATTTCCAAATATGTTTGTCTATGGAGGAAGGCAATGTTAATTGTTTATGGTGTTTTGATGCTTCATTCTACTATGGGTTATTTTATGTCTGATTTCTTGACTCTTACTAAAAATAATAACCAAGGAAGAAATCAGCTTTTTCTGATGTAAGCTCTGACAGTACTCAGTTCAAATAACTAGTAATAACAAGCGCCTTGCTAAGGTAGCTGTAACTAACAACTTCTTTACCGGGTTTTCTAACCTTTCCTACTCAGTCATTCAGGTCAAGCATGTAAGTTCTTGTCACACATCTGGTAACCAAACTACTAAGGAGTGATTTCCCCAAATTGTTCAGGTTGTTCACAGCCCAAGACAACCCGGCGAAAAGAGTAAATGAAGCGGAAACATAACCTGTGCTGCTTCATTCTTCAGTTGCCCAGAGTCCAACTGGAAACAGCAATGCATTTTTCTAAGTTGCACAAGGGCCAGCCTATTCACCATGATGTGTGCATTTGCAGAGAGGATGCCTCTTCTAGTTCACACAAAAGCCCCTTGTGGGCTAAGGAGCAGACCTGATTCTTTTTTTTTTTTTTTTTTTGTGAGACGGAGTCTTGCTCTGTTGCCCAGGCTGGAGTGCAGTGGCACGATCTTGGCTCACTCCAAGCTCCGCCTCCCGGGTTTACGCCATTCTCCTGCCTCAGCCTCCCGAGTAGCTGGGACTACAGGTGCCCGCCACCTCGCCCGACTAATTTTTTGTATTTTTAGTAGAGACGGGGTTTCACCGTGTTACCCAGGATGGTCTTACTCTCCTGACCTCGTGATTCACCCACCTCGGCCTCCTTAAGTGCTGGGTTTACAGGCCTGAGCCACCAAGCAGCCTTGATTCTTAAAGAATGTTCCAAGCAATCAAAAGGGATCTGGTTAAAGTCCTGAAACTGACCCGTTCTTCCTAATTGGAATCTTCTGTGGGAGGTGTCCTGTCTGCTTAAGTGTTATTTCCCTAGGAGGAAAATATACAGTAGAGGCTTAGAGATTTGGTGATATAATTGACATTTTATTCGGTGTAATGAGGTTAAAATCAATAATTTAAAAAACTATTCATAATTTGCCTGCTGGTCTTGTGCTGTAATATTCAACTCAGTTCACTCTGGGTAAGAACTTGTAGATGTTGGTGTGAGAGCTTTAGTGGTTTCTCTTTATTTTTACAATTCCCTTTTGGTACTTAAAATTCCCCTTTGGTACTTTGTTCCCCTCCTGCTCCCACATTTTTTTGCGTCTGTGGTAGGAGTCACTCCTCAACGTCACTTAGGGTCATGGACGATAGTGCAAAGAGGTATCGTAGGGTCATGGACCATTGTGTAAAGGGGTACTGGAATCCCCGTTTCTTCATGCTATCCCAGGCTTCCCAGCATTTTGTGCTCCTGTAATTGCTGGCTTTCACGGTTTCTTAATAATCTGGTTTTCTTCACAATCAGCACATTACAGAGAGTCTGGACTTCTTATCAAGACATTCTGCATGGAGCTCCCAACCCTTTCACTTTTCAGATCGTCCCCTAGGTCCCCTTCTTAGTCATTTACACCTACTATCTTGCTGGTGGGTTTTTTTTTCCCCCTTTTTTTGACTTCAAGTGGGCTGAGTCTGAGAAAAGTGCAATTTTAGTCTGCCTGAAAAATCCTATTTGGAAGGAGGCCCTGAAAGTGCCACATGCATGCCTCAAATTAATATTTCAATTGTAGCTGAGCAGCAGTTGTTAAATGGTCTTTTGTAAACAGCCTTTTAAACATTCTTTATCAAGTTAAAGAAAATGTAAAAGTCTCCACCACTCCATGCCCAATTTTCTGTTTAGTATTTCTCAGGGATATTAATTTGAAAACTGAGAAAGAAAAGTCCTTGACTGAGCCCATGTGGTTGGAGCATTGACTCAGGCAAAGCCTACCTACCACTGCCAAATTACTTCCTTGGCATCAACATGCACTTCAACTATAGTTTTAAAAATAGGAAAGTACTACTTACTTGCATGCCATTTTAGTGTGTTGTGAACTGTAAGATCAAAGATTATTGTAAGTTGATTTGCTTATTTGCAAAGAATACTTTTTTGTTCTAAAGGCAACCCTTGTAATTAATTACTTAAGTGAGAATAAGTTAAACACATTACTTATTTATCTTAAATGGTTTTCTTGTAACTCAAGGAGCGATTCTTTACAATAGCCAATATGTTGTCATCTCAAATGCCCTATAAGATACATAACTACTAATCACTTAAAAATGTAGTCTAAAGGCAATTTGACAAATTAAAAAAAGAAACCTACGCATGTGTGCATGCACACACACATTTTATGGCCTTAGCCATTATTATGAGGATCATTATATATAGGACTTGAATTGCCAATAAAGATTGTAGGGAAGAACTGTAAGCCTGTGATGTAATGCAGTCTACTCAGTTGGCATACTAATCTATAAAAGTGGATTTTTCTGTATAAGGAACACATGGATATATTCACGTTGCTATATGGAACACAAACGGAAAGTTCCCTCCACTCTCACCCCCAAGCCTCCTTCCATATTGTCTGTCCTGACCTTTCTCTCTGTAGGTGTGGAGATATTTATGTATACAAACAAATCAAGGATTTTAGATAAATGTCATCATGCTGTGCAGAGCCTCCTGCAACTCATTTCACCTGATAGCGTATTCTGGAGCGCATTCCCAGTTACTATGTATAGACCCAGGGCATGCCATTTCACAGAGGGATTTCCTGCAATCTATTCAGTCATTCCCTGCACTGATAAACATTCCGCTTCTCTCCAGCTTCAAACCCCAAAAGCCTTGTGGAATAACAGCTTTCTCACTAGCCCATAAATATTCCACCCAAATGAAATTGATCAAATTAGACCATTTTTACCACAGTGCCTTGAACATAACACATGCTTATGTATTTTTACTTATACAACAAGTTATTTGTTGTTAACAAATCTTATTTAATGCTTCTTGAGTGTGCCACATAAAATTCAAGCCAAAATAACTATTGGTTCGAGTGATTTAAAAAATAGGAACAAAATTATGCCATACATGGTTTCGTGTTAGCCCTATTCATAGGTAAAACTGAAAATACTACAATCTGTACGTCCATCCCCCTGCGACTGCCTTAATTTAGTACTGTTTTCCTGGTGGATTACAAAAATCGCTAGTTTCACTTCCTTGACCATCTCTGCTGCAGTTAGGATACGATTTCTGAAACATACATCTGATCAATTCCAGTGTCTGGCACAACGTCTGGAATGGAGGTGCTCGAAAATGCCGGTAATGAAAGAGTGATGAATGCCGCTGCGCCCTGCGGCCCCTTCCCAGGCTCCCTGTGCCTTCTCATGAAATGCCCATCTCAGTCGCGTCACCTTCCCCTCTGTTGTCTGGGTTCCAACTGTCACCAGCCTTCTCTGCCAGTGTATCCTCCTCACTTTGTTTGTAATCAGTGTTACTGAAGTATGATTGATGTACAGCAAGATACACACTTTTTAAGTGTTCCTTTCTATGAATTAAAACTGGGTTTTTATCGTTAGAAACAGACTGGGGATTTTGTCTGTCTCCCATAGACGGTGACAAGAATGTCTCAGAGAGCTCTGAAGACAGATGGCAGTGATGGTTGCACCAGGCTGGGCGCTAGAACTGCAGTGCAAGTGTCCACATGGGACCATACACTTAAAAATGGCCAAGGCGGCAGACTTTATCTATATTTTACAACCATTTTAAGATGCTAAAAAAAAGAGAAAAATGTCACAGACACTTGGCTGCTTTCATCGCCTTGAGAGAGACAAAAATGTATAAGGACAGACTGTATGCTTTGGCGAGCTTATTGAAGATTTGGAAAACAAATTTTACACGTAGTTTTGTTCTGCATTAAACTAATTAAATGCTGCATTTCATGGTCGTGGCCGGATGGACCATATTTCTCAGAAGGTAAAATCCTGTCGTTGTCTAGAATGCTCAGAGCTTCAGAGCCTTGCAGGGCAGCCACCTGGGAGTGGGGTTGGGGTGGGCAGGGCAGGAGGGCGGAATGTATTCCCTGTGTCTGCACTGGGGGTGGGAATGGGATGAAATTAGCAAAAGCAAGGAGATAGAGCTGGGTAAGGATATGTGAGTGACCAGGGAAGGGCATCTGAATGGCTCATTTGGAGTTGTATTGCCATTAGAAGCTGGGATTCCTTTTTTTCCTTCTCTTTTTGCAATAATCAAATTACATAGTAAATGTGATTTAGGAAAATTTGTCTATCAACA